TTATTGCTACTGGTTTTCATTCTGTATTTTATGCTAGCTATAAAATTAAGTAGGTTCATCCCTTGAATTAGAAGAAAGTTGTGTAAATATAAAATGTATTCAATAATTCTTCTAGCCACCATATAAACATACTCAATAGTTGCTAAGACAGGAAAGGTTTTTTTCTTACGTTTATAAATAAATTTAAATTTAATAATGTGTGAAGGATGGAGACTCTGAGGGGGTAACTTATTTAGGAGATGGAGTAACTTACTGAAACAAAATACTGTAGGCTCTTCAGGTATAGAGTAAAAATATACTAGGCAAAAAGGAAAGTGACAGTTAATTTCCATCGTATACTGATGTAATATACTGCCTTTTCACACCCTAGAGGTATAAAAAAAATAATAAAAAATAGCTGTTTCTAAAAGCCCACATTCTCATTGAACTGACTGGCAGTGCTCAGAATCATGGCTACTCATTTATTGGAGTGGGTGGTTATTTTTTCATGGTTTTACTAAACATATACCTGTTTTTCTGGCATCTTTCTGCTCCCTGTGTTCCTGGGTAGTGGAATAACAAGGCTTGCAGGAAGGGTGGTGCTGGGCACTCTGCCCCTGATCAGAGAAATACTTCTGAGCACAGTACAGGTGTTGGAGCCGGCACGAATAATCTGCTATTTTGGTATGGTATAAATACGGGACTATGTAAACATGGCACTTGCTGTCTGGTCTAACCTATTCCCAGAGCTAATGTACATAAACATCCTGCGCTATTGGTTATTTCCAGGAGACTGAAGCCAAGTTAACTATTTATGTTAATACTAACTTTATGGAAAAGAGATGCAAACGTATTAATGAGGGGCTAGCACCATGATTAAAGGTTTTCTTTCTTTTCCTAAAGATTTGTGTACTTTTATACCATATGTAAAATATATTTACCATAACATCTCCTGTCATAAACTGGTGTTTCTTGAGGCATACTGAAGACAACATAGCACCCTCTTTGACACTGAATTGTGTACACTGTATTTTCTGTTCACCAGCCTAAAAATTTGTCCTCGAGCAGCTCTGAGCCTGACCCGAGTCATATGTTGTGATTGGATTCTCGCAGAATATTTGCATCCCCAAATGACCACATGCTCTGTGAGCCCAGTGATCATGAAACACAGTGGAGCTGTAATACCTTCTTTGGCTTGTGATCTAACCCTTGCCAAATACCTAGCTAGGGCTTCTGCATCCAGCACCTCATATTTCCGAGGTTCTGCTATCCAAATTCTGGATGAACCTCACATTGTTGTGACCAAGATTAATCCCAGAATCAAGATAAATTAATCACAGACTTGTGCATTTGGGACAGAAATGGAAATGGGACATTTTCAATCTAAAGGTCAGAAAGGAGTCTTAGTTGTGCACTAAGTCTGCACTGCCTGGAGGTCACTAGTCTATCCTGTAGAAATTTCTCTTTGTTAGCTAGTGTCTGTAGAAAGATAGGAGCTTTCAGGGGGAACAGTGTTCTCGATTTTGAGTTCCTGGTGCTAATGAAGCCATGTGGTAAGCTCTTGCAATGATGAATTCCTTTGGTCTGAAAAATAAGCTCTTATATTTTCCATCTAGAGTTGTCTGGCTACTGATTCTTCTTTTGTTTTTGTCTGCTCAAGCAAAAAGTCTTCTATTATGATGCCTTTTTCTTCTGCATAGATATTTGTGGACTTAGCAAGTTCTCTGCCCCTACCCCAACTGCTATTTGGATAAGCTAAATAAAGCAGTGTCATCTAGTGCTACTAACATCGCCTTTTTCAGCCTGCCAATGAGAAAGTTGAGGAACTTATTCTATCAATTGCTTGCTTTCCAGTCCTTTAATCATTCTTGCAGCTGTGATGACTTCCAGGCTTTGGACTAACAGTAGGAAATGCTTTATATCACACCCTTGCTCCCACATACTCAGTTTGATTGCCACTGTAAAGATGGCAAATTGTCTTAGTTCTCTAGAAGAAAATCAAGCAAGTGGGCAGGGAATAATTTTACGTAGAACCTCTGCAGTGAGCTGGACAGGGACACTTATAAAAAAGGTTTTCAAGGACAGCATTTCCCTTCTCATTTGATAGTTTCCTGTTCAAAGTTATACAAAAGCAATTTAATCCTTTTTTACTGTTCCCAGACTTCTAATAGACTTGGGGTTGTCAGCCTCACCAGCCAGCTTTTCCCCAAAAGAAGAGGCAGGCAGGAAAAGCCAAATAGCAGACAATGAAGATCTGAAGTGAAGAGAACTCGGACAATTTTCTGACTATAACAATGAAGTAACAGTGAGAGCAGACAGCAGCTGGACTGAGAATGCGGAAGAGCAAGTGGGAATCACTCACAACCAATGTTCTTTGGAGACTTCCCTTGTCCTGACTTGATTACTTAATCTGAATTTGGAGCCTATTCAGTATTGGGATTCAGACCAAACTCCAAGTAGAAGAAAGGGTAAAAACGCATCTGATCTGCTCCAAGACAAGACAAGTGTAAGTTGCTAAACCATCTAATTAAATGCAAATTGTTGTAGGTTTATAGTAAAAAATGTAATGGGACAGGTGATATATATTATAAAATGATACTGTATGCATGTTTTCATCATGTGTGTTGTCTGATGACTAGACATTGAAGGCACTTGGTCTTGTTTGGACTGTTTTAGACATGAAAAAGAGGCAAAGGCTGTGTGCCAAGTAGCTTCAATGTTGAGGTTTGATAAAGTTATTTAAGGATTTGAAAGATTGACTGATTATTTTTTTTTAACACAAAAAATGAAATTGTGGCACCCATTGTCTAATTGCTATTAGATGTGAAGGAAACAGGAACTGTAGTAGCTGCATTTGACTATGATCACATCCCAATGGAAGAAGTGTGGTAGAATTTAGGAGACAGCCATTGGCTGTCTTATTAAAGCATATTCTAGCAATATTTTTTCCTCCAATTATTATAGACTATACTGCAAGCCTGGAGAAAGAAGAAAGGGTACTCTCTTATGCTGTTAAATGAGCACTCACTCCTTACTCACTTCTGCCCTCACTTGCCTTCTCCTTCCTCTTGTCCTTTTGAGGTATGGTCATGAGCAAGAGAATTAACAGGACTTCTACCATATAACTTCACCCACATCTTAACCAGCAATATTTTTTGCTCAGTATATCTATTGTATTTTCCTTTCTTTTGACAACACTGACCAGCCTGAATTATTCCTCACCAGCATATGCGGTTTTCTTCTCCTCTAGCATTTTGTTATTCTAAGGTAACTATATTACTATGGAGTTTGTGATGAGTAAAGTGTCTCTGCAATGTATGTGCTAACTAGTAACTTGGCAGTAACAGCAAGCATTAGTTCATAGGGTGCAACCTCATTTGATTAATTTTTTGTATCCATGTGTGCCATACAAACTAATTATTGTTTATACAAATATGAGTACTCAAGTTTCTCCAGATAGCTTATTATTGCTATTTAATGGTGTAACAGTGTAGGGACATAAATATTGTTTTTTCCATTGTATACTAGTTGTCAGCAGTTATGTCATAGTGTCAGCTGGACTCCAGGACCGAACCCATGGTTGTATATTGATACCTCACAGTGTACTTCGTGATTCCGTATGTGCACCCTATGCTACCTTATGCTATAAATTCTTTTATAAAACGGGCACTTAAAAGCATTAGAAAAGGTCAGTGGAAAATGTGAAGCAAATGTTCATAGATTTAAATCCATGAGAAACCTAGACGGATGGCCAGTTCAAGAACAAAGTGCTGTAGTTGGCTAGATCACATACAGCCTAAAACACACAAAAAACTACATTCAACATCTTTCATGCCTTATAAGCAGGGGAAAAAAAGAAAACATTAATTTATTTGCTGTGACTTAACACATATTTAGCTAGTTTGTTTGCACTTTCCTAAGAGTCCCTAAAAATAAACTGAAAACATCTTATGGCAAATAGAATGGCAGGAAAACTCTATTGTTTCCAAATGTGCATTGAAAAAAAGTGAGCGACCATAAGGCTCCTCTACAAGAGAAAGAATCTTAATGGAGGAACTTAACTGAACTCTGGCTGAAGTCATATGAAAGTAACACAGTGAGTCTTGCTAGCTTAACAAGATTGTATCCATCAGTACAAAGGCAGTACCTCTGTAAACTTCAGAATATGTGTTTCAAAATTCAACTAATATACTTCCAACACGTCACTTATTTCCGTGAAAACTTACTGAAAAGGCAATACGGATAGAGATTAATACAGGTCCGTCTCCTTCTGTGCCATTTCTCCTTTGTAGAATATGAAGACAAAGGCAGAACAAATGTTTGAAAAGTTCACTCTCTGACCCACTCCTAAATATCAAGCTGGTTTTGTTCTGACCACAACCAGGCCAAAATTCAGGCTAAATATGTGGAAATGTATTTACGAAAAGGGAAGGAAAACTTGGAACTTAGTTGTCAGAGGTAGACTAATGACATTCTGTATGTAAATACTTCTAAATTTTAGTTAATTTAGGGCTCTTTCCTTGCTGCTGCAAAATGAAAGTGCAAAAATTTAGTCTTCTTCCTCTAAAACAGGTAAATATGCTGTTGTTTGTGGGCCCTTTTATTTGCACACTTTCCAAAGTTAGTTCATTGTTTAAAAAAAAAAAGGGCAATTCATGTACTATATCAGGAAATGGCCAAGAAACATCATCAATAAATGTAAAATAGAAAAAAATACCATCTAAGATATCTTTCCCCACTTTAAATATGTAAGTTACAAGTGAACATAATCAGTGTGTGATTGCAGACAGATTTTGCATGGTTTCTTGTAAAACCTTGTCATCTTGTTAGTCTGTCTGTCTCTCTTTTAGTAAGCTCTTCTCAGGCTGTGTGTGAATCAAATGCAGTTTGAGGAAAAGTAATACAGGTGTAGCTTTTGAGGAGGTGTTTATTCAGGAAGGATGTAAACTCTAGAGAAGATTTCTATGCCCTTTGGGTACAACTAAGATAATATGCAGCTGCCAACTCTTAGTGAATCTTACCTTGGCCAGTTCTGCTTGGAGTTTGTTCTTTGCATCAGCTACTTCAGCAATACAATTATTAAAGGCCAAGTTGGTAGTGATGAAATGATTCCACGTCTCCTCGAATGTGCTCTTCAGTCCAACCTCGGCAACCTCTCGGAGCTTGACAGAGTTGGCCCTTGCATGTTGAGAGCACTTGATATTGTCCTCGCTGATTTTAGCCCATGTTGCAGGAACTGAAACACTAGTAAAATTTAAAATAAGAGGAAAATAAATTTTAAAAAAATTTAGGTGAGCTGTTTTCTTTCAGTTGTAATTACACTGAATTACACGAAGTACTCATCCATTGAACTGTGCAAACTCTGCAAATGCATACATCAGATGATTCTATGGGTTTCATACCCACTTTTTTTTTTTCTTTCTTTCCCCTCTATAAACCAAAGATTTGGCAACAACAAGCAAGACTTTTGGAGAGCTGTTGCTTCAACAGTGTTTCTATGGCATGCTTGAATATTGTAGCTGCTAACTGAAGGTCCTAGTGGCCCTGGCATCAACTCCAAAGTAAGTAGGTTTATGTTTTGCTGTATAAAGAATGAACTTTTCTTGCATACTTTTTGTTTATTGATGCTTAAGAGCAATTTTTCAGGATCAGGTATGAATGTCAACAATGCAGCTTTTTCCTGTCTTTAACAAGCTAGGTGATGGTCTGAGTTCATACCTGCTGTGTCTCAGCTGAAATTTGACTCATTTCTCCGTGTCAAGTTTCAGAGTGCTTATGGCTTTGATGGATTATTAGATTATTTAGCATGGGCTCCTGTACATTGCACTCCATCAAATTAGATTCAAATACCATCTACTTTTGTGAACCCAAACATTTATCCTGGGGGAAAGGAGTTGTGTGTCACCAACCACCAGGGAACGTGAGAGCCCAACCTAGTTTAGGGAAAATAAGCAAGAAACCAAAGGAGAAGAATTGTTACACAGTGTCCTGGTTTGGCTAAAACAGGG